AACCTGTCGCGGAAGTGCCGAAGGCTGCTGAGGGGACTGTGAGGAGGACTGCGGGGAGGGAGACGCTACCTGACGCGCGACCGAGGGTAGAGGGGTAGCTTGGGACACACCAGACGGGGCAGGACCAGGGGGGGGCGGGGGTACCGGAGGAGCAGGAGCAGGAGGAGGAGAGGGTGCTAGGAACAGGGGGGGAGGGGGTACCGGGAGACCTCGACAGGGGTACCGGGTGTAGTAGGACACAGACTCGTCAAACCGGACGTCACGGGAGTCTAGGAACTGGTGGAGGGGCGGGTGGTAAAAGGACCAGTCGGCAGAGTCCACTGGGAAACCAAGGAAGAGACAGGGGACGGCGCGTGCCGAGAGCTTGTCCGCGGAGGTGTCGCGAACAAGTGCAAGGCAGCCCCAGACTCAAAAGGCCGACCCAACACCAGGGGAACCAGTCCAAAGACTGGTCGGTGAAGCCTCGGGCCGCGAGACACGTGGCTGGAGGTTCAGCTGGTGTGCGGCGTAGCGAACCGCGTGAGGCCACAGAAAATGGGGCGCACGGGCATGGATCATGGACGTGCGGGCGATGTCCATGACCAAGCCTATGCGGCGCTCAGCAACCCCATTCTGCTGTGGGGACTCTGGCAGCGTCCAGGACTGGGTGATGCCCTGTTCGCCGCAGAATCCACCGAGAATGCCGGAGCGAAACTCGCCCCCACGGTCGGAGTGAAGACAACTGACTCGACGACCACGAGTGCCCTCAGTGGCTAGAAGCCACCTGATCAGCGTAGCAGTCACCTCGGACTTCTTCGCAAGAGGGAACACTGTGGTGTACCTGGAGTAGTCGTCGACGACCACCAGAAAGTAACGCTCTCTCCCAGACCCCTGCGTCGGGGCAGGGCCCCAGACGTCCAAGTGGAGAGTCTCGAAGGGAGCGGTGGCCGGACGAAGGGAGGAGGAGTGGGGAGTGGCGCGTAAGCGACCGGCGACGCACGGAGAGCAAGGAGGGGCAAGCGAGGGAGGGAGCGACGGGAAGGTGCGTGGGAGACCTGTGACAAGTCCCTGACTGAGCATGCCACGAAGGCGAGGGATCGACGGGTGGCCAAGGCGGTGGTGCCACAGGACTGTGCGGTGGGCGAGAGAGCGACAGGAGCAAGACGCAGCGACTGGACTGGACACAGCGACCGGACTGGACACAACTACCTGGCTAGACACAGCAACTGGACTGGGGACCTGGGCCGGAGGGGACGCAACGACCTGAGGGGAGGACGCGACCGGGGAGCGCTCGGTGTGGAGAACGTAGAGACCGGAGCGGGGCTCCCTGGTGAAAGTGGCCAGAACAGCACCTGTGGTAGCGTCAGTACAGACTGCAGTCCGCCCACCCCCCACGAAGGTAACCGTGATCCCCCTGTCCTGGAGGTATCTAACACCCACCAAGTTCCGAGTGAACGAGGGGATGTGGAGGCCGTGCAGGACACCAGAGGGGACCACAGGGCACGGGAGGGTGGTGGAGCTACGCGCAATGGCTGGTCCAGAGGTAGGATCAGCCAGAGCCACCGACACAGGGGTGAGGAGTGGCGTAAGGGTCGTGTGGTCGCGGAAGAAGCACTGAGACGCGCCCGAGTCCAGCGTGAACGACAGAGAGGCCTCAGCCGGAGGGTCACCTGACCCAGTCGCTACACAAGCACCTAGAGCAGCAACACAAGCACCTAAGCTAGACAGGCACAAGGCTACACTAGCAGGAGGCAAGCAGGCTAACCTACGAACACGCGAGCACCCAGACCCATCAGCACTAAATTCAGCATCAACATACGAAGCATGCTGACGCGCATCGTCCATGGACAGATCAAAGACATCAATCTTACGGGCTAACAGACAAGACCAGCGAGGCGTGACCGCCAGAGGGCCCCAACGAGCCCGGTAGAGGTCGTCGAGGCGGCGGAAGCACCGCGCGGCAGAGTGGTCGTCGCGACCACAGAGACAGGGGCTGCCCGGCCCGGTGAGGCACCAGTGGGTGCAGGGGCCAGTGTCACGGCGAGGGGGGCGAGGGGCCCAGCTGGAAGAGCTGCTGCTGCGGCCGGTGCTCCCAGGGCCTCCCGGACCCCACTGCGGCGGGGGACCCCAGTGCTGCTACGGACCCCACTGCAGCGGGGGCCCCCACTGCTGGAACTGCTGCGGTGCCTGCTGCTGCTGCTGTCCCTGCTGCTGCTGCTGCTGCTGTCCCTGCTGTGGCTGGTGCTGCTGTGGCTGCTGCTGCTGGGGGGCAACGCCCCCACCGGTCGGGCCACCACCTGTGGGTGGGCCTGTCTGTCCTGCACCTCCTCCAAGGCCCCCTCCCCCTGGCGCACCGCCGCCGCCGCCGTCTCCGCCACCACCGCCGCTCCCACCTCCACCGCCACCTCCACCGCCACCTCCACCGCCCCCACCTCCCCCCTTCCCGCCCTTCTTGCCACTCTTGCCCCGTTTCTGCCAGTCTGTGGCAGAAACGGCAGCGGTGTCCTCAGAGACCGACACAGCAGCAGAAGCGCGGGTAGAGGTGAAAGTGGGAAGCTGAGGGGCGGCACACCCCGCAAAGAGACGGGGGGCCACCGCATCAGTGGCGGAGGCAACGGCGAGGAGGCTGCTCTCGATGGTCCCGAGAGCAGTCTGAAGGAGGTCTATAGTGAGCTCAGTGGGGTGCTTTTGAAGAAGCGCGTCGCGGGCAGTGGCAAGGCGGTCAGGGAGGCGGGTGACTAACCAGTGCACAGTGAGCCACGTGGGGGGGGGAGCAACAAGGAGCTGTGCGTCGGTACAGGCAGCACGGAAACCGGCGTCAAGCGAGCGGAGGTGAGTCACTAGGTCGGAAACAGTCGCAAACGAGCCTAGGTCGGGAAACACAAACGGCATGAGGAGGCGACTGAGGGAGGCAGAGGAGGGGGTGGAGTAGCGGGCAACAATAGCATCCCACACCCCCTGGGCTGTCTCCACCTGGTCAAAGTGGGCGGCCTCAGTCGGGGGGAGAAGCTCCGACAGTGTGAGAGCGGCGGCAGCGTCACGCGAGAGCCACACGTCCCTGGCCAGGACCCGACGGTCGTACTCCGCCTGGGCCGTAGGAGTCGGCTCCGGGGTGGTCGGCAGGGCGGCGGGGGACGGGGGGGCCTGTAGGGCACCAGCCGCGTGAGCCCACAGAGTGGCGCCGTCCTGTCCTGGCTGGTGAGAAAACGTGTGGTCTGGCGCTGCCAGGTACCGAACTCGATCGGGCGTCCCTCACCATCGAAACGGAGGCGACGGGCCTCCATAGCGGAGCCCATGCTAGTGGTGACTGGAGCACGGCGGAGGCGGAGCTAAGAACGAGGAGGAAAACTACGGCGGGCTAGGGACGCCAGCGGGGAAACCGACGAGAGACAGTCGGCGAGAAAATAGTCGTGGGGCGGGGCTCTAACCGAACCTAGGTGGCGCTACCGGAGGGAAGAGCGGCTGCCAGCCGCTGAGCCGGGAGTCAAGTGCAGTAGGAATGGCGTGGGACCAGGGCACAGGTGAAGGGGAGAGAGATGCAGTAAGCGCACAAAGGGATGCGGTAAGTGCACGCAGGTGGGCGGTAAGGGCACGCAGGTGTGCGGTAAGTGCACGCACGCAGGTGTGCGGTGAGCGCACGCAGGTGTGCGGTAAGTGCACGCAGGTGTGCAGGAAGATTTACGGAGGAGGGCGCGCGACAGGCGGAGGGAAGGGTACGCGACGGTCTAAGGAGGGCGCGCGACGGTCTAAGGAGGGCGCGCGACGGTCTAAGGAGGGCGCGCGACGGTCTAAGGAGGGCGCGCGACGGTCGAAGGAGGGCGCGCGACGGTTTAGGAGGGCGCGTAACGGTGGGAGAGGGCGCGCGGTGGTCTAAGGAGGGCGCGCGACGGGCTTGACAGCGCGGGAGGGCGCGGGCTAGGCGCGCGGAGGGCGCGGAGGGCGCGAGAGCACGGAGGGCGCGTAGGGCGCGGAGGCTAGCTAAGACCGAACGAGGATCTAACCTACTCGTGATACCATCTTAGAATAGGAAATACAACGGAATGGTCAAACTAGGAAGTGTGGAAGTACAAATATGCAACCCTAACAACTGTACTCCCTATTGTGCTACTCACTGTAGCCTAAAAGCATAGAATTACATTTGACATAGCTTTAGGGGGTGCACAATTTCCCTCGACTTTCTAGTCTTGTACCCATCTTGACCTAATACAATCATACTTGCCTAGGTATTCTAACAACGGGCCACGCGACAGGCTAGGGCAGGGCGCACGGGCTATACGACGGGCTAGGGTGGGGCGCACGGGCGACGCGACGGGCTGGGGCAGGGGCCACGGGCCACGCGACAGGCTGGGGCAGGGCGCACGGGCTACGCGACGGGCTGGGGCGACGGCCTAGGACGCGGGCTGGGGCCATGGGCTAGGGCGCGGGCCTGGGCGACCGGCTAGGGCGCGGACTGGGGCGACGGGCTAGGGCGTAGGCCTGGGCGACGGGCTAGGGGCGCAGGCTAGGGGCGCGGAGGGCACTAGGCGCGGAGGTCCGCGTCGGCGCGGGCTAGGGGCGCGGAGGGCGCTGACGCACGGAGCAGGGCGCTAAGGCACGGAGAGGGCGCGGAGGGCGTGGAGGGTGCGGAGGCTAAGGCGCGGAGGGCACAGAGGGCGCGAAGGTGCGCTAGAGAGGGCGCGGGATAGGAAGTAACGAGGAACTAACCTACTTGTGATACCATCTCAAAGTAAGAATGCAACAGAATGATGAGATTAAGAATGGGGGTGCTATAAATAGCAAACCTTAACTGAGTTGTACTCACTAAGGAGCACCTCACTACAGCCTATCACAAATATCAACATTTGACACTTTACAGCTTGCCAAATGGTTTCAAGGCTTCCTCTTCCAAATAAAGGCTCTCCTACCTACTATATAAGGTGGTCTAATGGGGGTTTCCCTGGAATTGCCTAAGAATTTTCAACAATCCAGTTGTGGGTAAAGTATTACATTATCACGCTTTACAAGTCATAAGATTGAAATAATCAGGCAGCAACAGTAACAGGGCGCTTGCTGGTCTTGATGCCATGGATTGCTGCAAGGAGACACAACAAGTGTCAACTACTACCACCAGTGTCAACACAGCAACACAAAAAAAATGATACTAAAACTCACCATCCTTGTAGCTCTTGGCTCCGAACACAGCTGAGCCAGCAACCAGGGCATTAGCACCAGCCTCGATGACCTGCAACCAGTAAATCATTGTAACGTAAGGCACTGTTTGGTTACGAAAGAGCCCAAACCGACATGCAGTGGTGCGTTTACTATTCATAATCATAAGCAACCTTACCTTGTAGGCGTTGGCAGGAGTGACACCACCATCAACCTCAATCCATGGGTTAACACCCTGCAATAAGAACATTCGCGAATTGAAGTCCCGATGATATAAAACGGCAAAATGGGCTGATTTCTTTAACGCTCCACTACTGACCTTCTCCAGGCACATTTTTCTCAAGTCGGCGATCTTCTTCACTTGGCTCTCGATGAAGCTTTGGCCACCAAAGCCGGGGTTGACCGACATGATGAGCACCAGGTCAACAACTGAATGAAAAACGCATTCAGGGACGCCGAGTCAGAACACTGACTATTGAACCACGCGACGAAGTGGGAGCAAGGATAACGACAGCGTCACTTGCTCACTAACTTACCATCGAGGACGTACTCGATCGCGGAAAGAGGCGTCCCTGGGTTCAGAACAACGCCCGCCTTGGCGCCGAGATCCTTGATCTGTGATTCAAAGAGATTGTAAACCAGACTTCACTGTAAGTAGTTGTATCAAAGCCCAAGGCATGCGAAGGGGAAGAAGCAATTTCACTTGATTACCTGATTGAGGGAGCGGTGCAGGTGGATGGTAGCAGCAACTTCGGCGTGGACGCTGACGATATCGGCTCCGGCCTTGATGAAGTCGGGAACGCGAAGCTCAGGCTCCACGATCATCTAAACCAAAACAAACAAAGGACATTCCAAGGAATAAATTTACGCCAGATGAAGCAGGGGTAGAAGCCGGGTAAATCAAAGAAGGGCTGCTTACAAGGTGGACATCAAGGGGCTTCTCGGTGACGGGGCGAAGGGCATCGACGACAAGAGGGCCGATGGTGATGTTGGGGACGAAGCGACCGTCCATGACGTCAACGTGGATCCAGTCGCAGCCGGCCTCATCGACTGCCTTAACCTGGTGGTTCAGAAGTAACGGTTTAAATTTAACAATGCATAACGGGCAAATTTACGCATGCAGGAATTTCGCAGTCTCGTTATTCATTATAAGCTTTAGGAAATTGAGGTCGGTTAACGTAGACGTGTGGGACGTACTTGATACAAGCGTACCCAAACAATCGCCTGAACTGCTAATGTCTGACCTGCTCGCCAAGCTTGGCGAAGTTAGCTGACAAGATAGAAGGGGAGACGATGATGTCGGACTTGCTGAACTGGTCCACACGTGAGGTAGCCACGACATTGGGGTAACGCCTGCCAATCGAGTTCGGATGTAAAAAAGTATGGCGGACGGATTCAATTTCCGATGTACGACATTCCATGCCTTCTGGCTGGCCTTGATTACGTAAGTGAAGGGGAAACACGTTTGCAGGAAGCTAGTATGTCCACCTGGCGGGAGCGGCAGCGACCTTAACGCTGGACACCTTCTGCACCTTGGCGCCCATGAGCCCTGAGGACTGGGCGGCGACAAGGCTCTTGCCAGCTGAGAGAGTAGCGGCGGCCATGGCTGCTCTGCTTGTGTGGGTGAAGGTCTGGGGAATGTCTGGAGAGTCCAGTTCTCAAAGATTACCTACAATGTGTTTTTCTTGGTTTTAAGTAGTTGCTGACTGTTGCTCATTGCTGAACTGCGCCCTCTCCCCCGCCCCCCCCCCCCCCCCCCCCTCTCCAGTCGCGCACTGATGCGCGCCATGTTGCTCAGCTCAACCATCATGCATTGCAATGCAACCAGCAGTTCTGCTGCATCTCACGCATCCACGCGTTTGTTTTTGTCCCGCCGCGCTTGGATGATTGCGCCAGATGCTTGCGGTGGCTCCTCGCACAAGCCTGGGTGGGGGACGGGCCTGGTTGGGCGGACGACCTTACGGATGAGTCCGCTCCCCAACCTCCAGGCACGGGGGTCCTCGAACACAACGTGCCAGACGCTTCTCACGTGGCATGCGGCTCCGTTTACGGGGACAAAGCAGAGGTAGCTTGTCCGAGAGATGGTGCCAGCGTGGATACGTATGAGGCAGTGCAGCTCCAATCCGCTACGAACCTAAGGCATGCTCACGTGGCATCGATGAGTGGCTGAAGAAGAGTTCATGTGATCTGTGAGACTGCCGTTAAAAGGTTCAAGCTTACAAGAACAAGGCAAAAATATTTACCCGTAACACATTTCGGGTAAGAGGATTCTTGTGATTATTTTTAAGGATTATTATAATATCTACCCAAGACAGTAACCATATTACCCTAAGAATAACATCCTTAGTCGGTTATCGTATAAGGATTAAAACAACCCCATTATTCCAACATGTACATCCAATCAATGCTATTTGATTTATTTTCCACGTGACATATCAACCCTGCAGTCACATTCAAATTCCACAATAATATAACATGAAATGTTGAAAGAAAATGTTATAACCAAGGCTAATTTTTCGTTTTTAGAGATCCGGATGCCTTTGGGGCCGCCACGTAAACACCCGTAAAATTCCGGATCCGTGAAACGATTGCCCTTTTTTTTAACCGGATTTCATCAAGGGTTCCCCAGAGTCAGTATGTTGCTAAAAAAACTTCCTCTGGCCCATCGAGACGTAACTGCAGCAAAATATGCTGTTATAACCGAAAGATCGTAGTGGACATGATAAGTCTGCCATGTTTGAGAGAAAACACTGAAAACTTTGTAATGACCTTGTTAATAAAGTTTAAAAGGAACAATATGATTGTAAGATAGAGGTACAAGGATATAATTAGTGAACTAGCTAACCATGTACACTGAGGGGTACATTCCCTTATTAACAGTACTGCATTGCTACAGTAACCACGACCATTGCTCTTCTCGACAGTTACCTTGGTGAAGCACGTAACTACCGTACGGTTACTGGACGGTCAAAAGTCATGACCGTTGACTGTCTTCGACTGTTGACCTTGGGGTAACTCTCGATCTTCCGCATGCTCTATATGAGCTATTGGGGTACTGGTACTGCGCGTTGTTCCGTTATGGAGTGATGCGTTGGTAGAGAACCTTCGGGAATGTTATAATAACCTTTCGGTTATTCCAACACTCCCCTTCATTCATGAAGGTGATCCATGTGGGATTTCTTCGAGATCCCGCAGAGGTCGGTGCAGTGCTGAAACTTCTGACGTGACCATTTTTTCGTCAGGAAGTCGGCTGCCATGTCACCGGTTGGGCAGTACGTGAGTTTGACCTTGCCCTTGTCGATCTCGTCCTTGACGAAGAAGTAACAGAGTGCGATATGTTTCGTGCGGTTCACGGAGCCGGGCTTGTTTGTGATTTTGATCGCGCTCTGATTTTCGCAGAGTAACGTGAAGTGCCCGTTCATCGTTACTTTCGCTCCCTGTAGGAGCTCCACCAGGTACAGTCCTTCGCGAACAGCTGTACTGGCGGCGATGAACTCAGCTTCGGCCGACGAAAGGGCAATGAGTTCCTGCTTCTTGAAGTTCAAGGAGATGAGTCCAGCAGGTTGGAGCTGAAAAATGAATCCTGTGAGGGAGCGTCTGTTGTCAATATCTCCTATGTGGTCTGCGTCTACGTAGCCATGGAGCTGTAGGGTAGCGGTGATGTTAGCTTCGTAGGTGAGTCCGACGTCAAGGGTAGAGACGAAGTATTGAAGTGCTCGGCGTAGATCCAGTAGATTCTCCCCTTCAGGTCGCTTCAGGTACTGTGCGAGCTGGCTTGCGACGTAGGAAAGATCGGTGGTGGCGAGTCCGACCTCGGTGGTGGTATCCCGAGGTCGACGTGGCGGATCAGGTGGAGCCGTCAGCACGAAGATGACTTGGTGCGTGCGCTGTTCAGGTGACGAGGATTAGCCCTCCAATCATCTACGAGCACCTGCGAAGTAGGTGCGCTGCTGTTCTACGGGAGCAACGCTAGCACGCCGTCAACCTGCAGCGTTGGCACGCTGTCGACTTTGCACTGCTGGAGCGCGGTTGACCAAGTCGTGCTGGAACGCGGTCGACCATGCTGTGCTGGCAGTCGACCGACCTGAATGCTAGCTCTGATGTAGTCTTGCCATGCCAACTTCATTGTACCATTGTTGTCAACTTTCTCTTGTGAAACTCTTGCCAATTCTCCCCGTGAACTAGCAAGCTGTGTGTGCACTAGGAAAACGACTAAGGACCAACGAACGCAGAGATCACACAAGCACCCGTGCCTAGCCCGTAGTCTAGCCCCCATTGCAGCAGTTATCTCGGCATAGCCTGCAGTGGGGTACTCTATAGCGAGTACAACCCAATTAGGGTTTCATATATGTATCTCAACTGCTGCTAGTGCAAACACTCTTTCTGCTTCTAAACTTTTCCTCGTTCTTGTGACAATCCGATTATATCAGAGCCGATCAGACCCGATTGGGCCCACGTCCTAAATGTTGGGACCATGGCTACGTGAAAAATAGCCAGGTTTTTCCATGTGCGGCGGCCCAAACGAGCTGTGGACGTATACGGGCCTGGCAGAATTTCGAGACTTCAAATCCAGGCTGTGTATAGGGTTGTCATTTTTGGCGTTTTAAGCAAAGTTAGTCTCACACTGCTGAATATCCCATCTTTGCATTTAGGTTCACACTTGATCAACATAATCGTGGCTATCACTGACTATGCTAACTGGAAAGAGACACGGCATCAGGTGCCTACTCATCATAAGTAGCAGGCTTACGAGCCTTGTGCCCTTCAGAGACACGTATGCCCCACTCATTCCACTCCACACCGTAGTTCCAACATTTTAACGTACATCTGTTTTATCTGTCAAAATCTCAACCACTAGACCATTGGGATAAAATGGCTTGTTTGTGTAGCGGGTAAGTGCGCCCATAACTCCCCAAACGAACGTGCATATAACCCTTCCTTAGGATCAATCAAGGATCATCAGTGGACCTATGACCTTATCAGCCATTCCAGCCTAACATCGCTATCATATATGGTCCAAGCCGATAAGTACCAGGGAGAAAGGGGGGGGCTGGGTGGGAAATGGGAAATTACGAGGAGGAGGGGCTTCGCCAAATCACAGGTATACGTAAGAACCAGGGTCAGGGCCCAATGTTGCCCTGATCCCGTCCGGTAAAGGCCCAGCGTAGCCCTGACTCTCCACGGACAGAACTTGGAAAATAGACTTAATTTAGAGGAGCTACTCTAACCAGTGCCCTGATTTTCAGGGAATTGCGGGCATATGCCCGTCAATCGACAGCCCTGGCGAGCAAGGCAATCTTCAAGCGAGCATCGTTGATGTCACCCCCTGCTGCAAGACACTCACACACTGGCCTCTCGATATCAGGGTGATTCATCCTTATGACCCTTACTATAAGGGTGGGTTTGACTATGCACCCTTTTTTACAAGACTGGTTATGTTTTAGACCCTTACAAAAAAAAGTGATCGATTGTACGACACTGATATTTCAGAGCTATGTGGTGTAGTAGCACTGATGAAATCGAGTTCGATCTAAGAGAGGATACTAGGATTGATCGCGTAAAACATAATCCCCGCGTAGGGTATTGAACTGGGGCCCTCCGCATTGTAAAGTCGATGATTCAACACACTGCAACACCAACACCCTTCATGATTTTCAGTTTATGTACTTCACACTTTTTTCATCTTCCTTATTTTTAAGAGCAGTTTCTGTGAAGCACCCTTACTGAAAGAGTAAAAGCTGGGTGTTGGCCTTACGAGAAAGAGTACCCCAAATCCTATCCAGAGGCCTGCTCACACACACTGGCACAATGTCGTAACCCTTCTCTCTTGTGAAATTCGTTACTGTAGCTCAGGCTGGAAATTGTTATGAATGAACTTGCAGAGTGCGCAGATATCGAATAACGAGAATGAAGATTACAGAATGACGATACAATGAAAATGGCACGCCTAAATAGGGGAAAGCTAGCTAGGCGGAGAGGTAGGGCGAGATGGCTCGGTGATGGTTGCGGTTGGGGCGGAGGCCGATTCGGGAGTGGTTCGCCGACGAATTAGGCAGAACAGGTTCGTCGCGTGACCCTCGGGATGTACTCGCTAAAGTGCGAGTACAGCAAGGAATTACAATTCCTTACAGAAATGCTCGTTGTGTTACCGGCATAACCCAGCGCAAGTCAGAAGAGTAATCGACATTTTGTGGAAAGGCTTCGTCGTTCTCGAGCCAAGAAGAAACACCCAGGGCATGCAATGTGAGAAACACCCACAACACACACAAACACACATCAACGATTCGAGTCGCCGTTGATTCACGTTGTAGGAAGTCAGCAACAACCGAGGAGGCGCCTGTAGGCCGGCGGCATATTGCACGGTAATGAAAAATAGCCGCACATCAGCGATCAGTTCAGCCCACTGTCCACGCCCCATCGATTTCCTGGTCCAAAATCTGGTTCGTGCGGCTATTTGTGGTGCCGGGTGGCGGCGGATCGGTAACCCACGCTTGTCAGTCGGCCGTGCGTATGCACCAAGTCAATCTGCCGTCCACGTCTTGCTGCCGTAGAGTACAGTAACCCGCGCCCGCGTCGCATGGCGCGCTCGCCGTCGCTATGGAGATGCCCGCGGTCCGCGCGGCAAATTGCGGGTCGAATGCGCTTTGGGTAGAAGCATCAAGAGCGGCGGAGATTGCGCGCAGGGAGCAGTGGCGCACCGGTGCTAACGCCATGCGCTCGCATTGTCAAGAAGGCTGGTAGCGTAACGTGAGTTCCAGATCGGCTACTAGGGCAGAGGCGGGTGGCTCGCACGGGCTATCAGCGTAACGAGCAGCGCAAGGCACTTTCGACCCCAATTGACGCGTAACGAACGAGCCCAAGGAATGAAGCCGTTGTCACGTTGCTGTCTCGCCGTCTTGCCGTCTCGTCTCCAGCCGGTAGTAGCCATCCTCAACACGCATAGACGCATGGTCTTGTAGTCGCATATTCGTCGCATAGTCGCCTAGTCGCATCGTCACGTATTTTTGCCTAGTCGCATCGTCGCATCGTCGTCTGACTTCGTGGGCCAGCTGTAGCAGCCGCGGATGAGCGCGAATACGCGTCAGCCAGTCCTGCAGCTGTAGCTCGAACCACCGCGGAGGCGGCAGGACCAGCAGGGGTAGTAGCAGCAGCAGCAGCAGTAGCAGCAGCAGCAGCGGTAGCCACCAGTAGAGCCTGCGGGTGTCATAACCCTAACCCCAACCCTAACCGGCGTAACCCTAAACCTAACCCTAACGCCAATGTTGCGGCGGTTCTTCCACCGCCCCAACACCAACTCGTGCCTGTACCTCATAATCGGTTTTCAGCTGGGATGGATTTCCACCTCCTTCCTCCTTTCCCAGCACCAACTGCTCGCGCAGCAGCAGCACGACCCTTCCCCCTTCTCCCTCTCCCACCTCCGCCACCCGCACGACCCCCCCTGCGCCTCCCCCCCCTGCCACCGCTCCGTGCGCTCGCTGGGGGACTGGGGGCTGGCGGGGGCGGCGGCGGGGGGGAGCAGCTCCGCGAATGGCGCAGGCGCGGGGGGCGGCGGAGGGGGCGCGGGGGGGGCGAGCGCGTGTAACTTATCCGCGGAGGCGGTGGAGAGGCAGCAGGAGGCGATAGTGGGGGCGATGCAGCAGCAGGAGGCGGAGATGAGGCGGCTCAGGCGGCAGCTGGTGGAGGGCGGTGCTGGGGGCGGCTCTGCTGTGACCGCCACTGGGGATGGCGCCGGTATGCCTCTCCTTGTGCCAGTGCCCCTGCCGCTCTTGCTCGGTCCGTTTGTTCTGGTTATTGCTGCTGTGCGCCTTGCGGCTGTGCGGGCTTCATTTGTTGTGGCTGGTGTGCATGTGTCCTGTGTTGTGCCCCCACCGCATGCCTGGCGGTGCACTCGTGCTCGTGTGTGCATCCAAGCCCCTCCTCACTGCTTCACTGCCCCTCATCCCTGTGCCCTCCTTGCTTGCACATCACTCCACACTACGTCGCGCCTCACCACACCATGTCACGCGGCGCCCTTTGTATGTGTGGTGCCCATTGCCACCAGGGGAAGCGCCGTGTGTGCGGGACTTGGCTCGTAAGAACGGCGCCCTTCAATGGAACCCCAAACCGCAGAGGTGAGACACCCGACGCGGCCACAGGGACCTTGGGGTTGGGGAATTCGCAGATAGGACTCTGGTGGTTATGAAGGAGGGTGGTTCTGTGGAATGGGTGGGCTCTGGGCAGATACTGGTAGGAGGCAAGCAGCCCGAACAAAATACTGTTTCCCACTTCGCATCGGTCTCCCTCCCTCACTCGCTCCCTCCCTCACTCGCTCCCTCCCTCACTCGCTCCCTCCCTCCCTCCTACCCTCCCCCTCCTCCCTCCCCCTCCTCCCTCCCCCTCCTCCTTCCCCCCCTCCTCCCCCCCTCCCTCCCTCCCTCCCTCCCTCCCTCCCTCCCTCCCTCCCTCCCTCCCTCCCTCCCTCCCTCCCTCCCTCCCTCCCTCCCTCCCCCCCTCCCTCCCCCCCTCCCTCCCTCCCTCCCTCCCTCCCTCCCTCTCTCCCTCTTTTTCCGCCCCCCTCGCCGGCCCTTTCCCTCTCCCTCTCCCCGACTCTGCGTCCTCCAATTGCTAGTCGTTTCTCCGCGCAACCATGGTCTCACATTGTTTTCTCTCCCTCCCCCTCTCTCATTCTCCACTCAAGCTACCCCTCTCTCCCAAGACCCCCCCCCCAATTCCCACACAAATCCCTCGTCACCTCCCTGTTTGTTCGTCCCCCCTCCCTCCCTCCCTCCCTCCCTCCCTCCAACCCACCACCGCGTGCGCTGCAAGCAGGTACCTGATAGCAATGTGTTCGGGCGGGCAGTTGAGCAACCGGCTGGCGTGTGTGCGGCAGAGCATGCTGGACGCGGCGCTCATGAACCGCACGCTCGTCTTCCCCACCCACTGCATCGACTACAACTATGACGCCCTGCTCGGTGCGTGTGTGCACCGTGGGGACTACTGCACGGTGCTGTGCTGTGCATGGGGGCATGGGTGCATGGGAGGGAGCATGGATTCATGGCTGTAGTGGGGGTGCTATGTTCCACCATGAGCGGCAGCCTTCAGCACGTTGAGTAGCATAGCACCCCGAAGGCACCATTTGCTATGTGCTGAACACAGCACCCCATGCTGTGCTGGCTGTGCTGTGCGGCTTGCTCCAAGGCGCTTGTGGTGCACCCACTTATTGTCTCCTTCCCATCAACGTCCCTCATTCGTACGACGGGCCTCCTCCCCACCCTCCCTCCCTGTCCCACCTCATCTCTCGCCCTCCTTCCCTCGCCACCGCATTTGGCTTAAACCATCACAATTCTCTGCATTTTCTTATTTCCTCCCCCCCGCCTCCCCCGTAAGCATTCCTCCAGACATGGGTGCGTTTGATGAGTGCTTTGGGCCCAACAGAGTAGTGTCGTTTGCTGCTTATAACGAGTCAGTCAAGGGCAGGGTGCGCGTGGGCCGGTTCATCTGCCATGTGCATGTCTACCAGGTGTGTGCATGTCTACCAGGTGTGTGCATGTCTACCAGGTGTGTGCATGTCGACCAAAGTGTGCAATGCACACTTCATTCATCACACACTCCCACACCCACTCCCGTGTGTGTTCTCCTGAGCTGCCGCCTCAGTTTTGTTTTTCCGCCCAGGGTGTGCACGTGTGTCGTTACATACACATGCTTGTGCCATCCTTGCATTGCGTGCCTTTCTCTCACCTTCCTAGCGCCCCTAGTTTCTCACCCCACCCCTCCCCTCCCCTTCCCCTCCCTCCCCCAAACTACCCTGCCCCGTTGCTTACTGATTCGTCTCCTCTCTCCAGTTCCTTCTCCTGCTTGATCCCCTCCCTTTCCACAACTCCCCTTTTTCCGTCTTCTCCCCCCTCCCTCTTCCCCCCCCCCTCCCCCCCCCCCTCCCCCCCCCCCCCTCTCTTTCTCTCCTCCTCCCCCCTTCCTCTCCTCCCCCTCTCCAACCCCGCCCCCTTCCCTCCGCTTCACAAACCACATTTTCCTCTCGTCCTTCCCTCTCCTACCCCCTTACCCTCCCCTCCCCCTCCCATTGTCCCACCCTCCCCCCCCCCTCTCCGTTCCGCTCCCCTTCCCCTCCCCTCTCAACCCCCTTCCACTCCCTCCTCTCCCCTCCCCTCCCTTCCCCTCCTCCCCCCTCTCTGCTCCCCTCCCGATTCTTGATCCTCAGTCCCTTCGTTTCCCTTCTCGCCTGTGCAGCACTATGCGACCACGCTGCACATTCACCTCCCCTCCCCACCTCTCTACTGCCCCTCCGCCTCCCCCTCCCCCTCCCCCCCCCCTTTCCCCCTCTCCTCCCAACCCTCTTTCCCCTCTCCTTTCCACCACCACCAGACGGAGGCAGCGTGTGACGACCTAATGCAGCGCTACACCGCCACACTGCACATGCAGTTCGCGAAGAAGGAGATAGCGCGGCGCCGCACGCCGGGCCCGTGGTTCAAGTACCCCGCAGGGGACTTCCTGCGCAAGTTCAACAGCGACCACCACGTCATCGCCTTTGGCAACATGTTCGGCGTGGGCGGCAGGGAGCTACGCTTTCAAGGGGCTGCGCCGCTGGTGGTTTCGCCGCAGTGCCGCGGGTTGCTGCAACCCAGCCCGGCTATTCAGGTGCGTGGGGTGTGGCGGAGGGGGGGAGGTGGGGGGGAGAAGATGGGAAGAGGGGTTGGGTGCGGATGGGAAGGGTGTTGGAACGTGGGAGAGAGGGGAAAGAGGGGCGGCAGCTGTGGATTGTGGAGGGAGGGGCTAGTGAGCAGTAGGCAGGTGGCAGCAGGTAGAGTTTTGATCTGGAAGGCTATGGCTTCCACTCTAAGGTATTTTTTGCATTGAAAGCCCCTGCAGCATAGTGTGCTGTGCACCTGCTCTAAGCAACCCCCTTCTGGATGCCTAGAAGCCACCAAGCTGCACGTTGAGAAAAGCATCAACAGCCCATCATCTCAAACCAAGCTTTCACCCGCAGGTGGCCCTTCCTCTCCCCCGCCACTCCCACTCCGCCGCCTCCCATTCTCTCCCCCCTGTTCCTCGCTCTCCTCCCCTACCTACCCCTCTTCCCCACCCTCCCTTCTCCCCACCCGCGCCCCCCTCCCTCTCCCCCTTCTCCCAGCAAGCAGCAGTGGGGTTCGTGAACATGTATCTAGGCCCGAGCTACGCAGCAGTGCACTTGCGGCGGGGGGACTTTTTCCAACACTGCATCCATGGCAACGGGCGTCTGCGCCCCACGCCCTGCTACCAGCCGCTGCACCAGGTGGCCTCGTGCCTGCACCGCCACCTGCAGCGCCTGCCGGGAGTCAGCATGGTGTTCCTGGCCAGCAACGCGGATGAGACTGAACGGAGGGTTCTCAGGGAGACGCTCACTGCGTTGGTGGGTGGAGAAGGGAGGGGAGGGAGAGGAGAGTGTTGGGAGAGGGGGAGAGGAAGGGAGGGTAAGGAATGGGGTGGTTTGGGTGGTGGGGGGTGGCTGGGAAGGGTGGCATTAGGCGGCTGTTTGTTGTGCGTGAGCACACACAGTTACCTCACACGGTTGCACCACATATTACCGCACCGCAAACTGCTTTAAATGTTGAAGAACACTTACCTCACGTTGCACCTGCGCACACCATACACTTTGCTGTATGTAGCCTTACGTCCCCTCTCCCCTACTCGTTCCACGCCCAGCAATTTTCTTCCTCCTGGAGCATGGCTTCTAGAGGCTGTCGTGGAATCCCTGTCACTTCTCTGCCACCCGCCCCACCATTCCCCCCCCCCCCCCCCCCCCCCCCCCCCCCCCCCCCCCCCCCGTGTACACACATCTGCTTCTCTACCCACCTGCGCACCTCACCCCCACCTCTCCCCACCATCCCTCTCTCTCCCCCATCCCCCCTCCCCCACAGGGCTCGTCCCACACGCTCATCTCCCTGCCGCATTCTCTGCAGGGCCACGCGTGGGCAGAGCCATTAGAGCGGGCAGGCGTGGCGGGGAGCAGCGAGGTGGTGTCGTTCCTGGACAAGGCCATCTGCGCGCTCGCCCTGCAGTTCTACGGCACTGCGGGCTCTACTTTCTCCAGTGACATCATGCGGTGCGTTCGTGCTGCTGCCCCTGCTGCCCCTGCTGCCCCTGCTGCCCCTGCTGCAGCTGCTGCTGCTGCTACCCCTGCTGTCTCTGCTGCCCCTGCTGCTGCTGCTCTGCCCCTCATCCTCCCCTGCTGCTCCTCCTCCTCCCCTGCTCCTCCTCCTCCCCTGCTCCTCCTTCTCCCCTGCCCCCCCTCCTTCCCTGCTGCTTCTCCTCCTCCCCTGCTGCTCCTCCTCCTCCCCTCCTCCCTCCGCAGACATTCGCATGTGCCGCCAATGTACTCTCCCATGTGGCATCCAACCTCTCATCCTATGAGTGTTACTACATGCCATGCCAGTGGTGATCAGTGTGGTCACGGCAAGGTCCATTCCTCTGCTGCACTCTCTGCACCAGCCCTTGCCCCTTGGCATATTCTCCATCCACACACCTCAATCCATCCCCTACCTCTTCACATCCCTAAGTCTTCCCACTTGCACCCCACCCTCCCTTGGCCTTTTTCCCATATCACTCCCCCTCTTTCCTCCCCCTCCTGCCCTTCCCCCCTGTCCTCCCCTCCTGCCCTCCTGCCCTCTGCCCTCCTCCCTTGCAATTCCCTCCCGCACTCCTTCCCTGCCATCGTGCCCATCTCCAGTCTCCGTGAGTGGTGGAAGCAAGGGCTGTGCGAAACTTACATCTGCCCGGCCAATGAGCCTGCAGACTTTCTTCGCCTGCCCGGGCGCAGCAATGCAACTGCCTCAGCGCCAAGCCCTGGGGCAGGAGATTCCTCCCTGCCTTCTGTTGTGTCAGCGGGAGGGGGAGCAGTGAATGTGTCGCCAAGACAGCTGCAGGGGCAGAAGCAAGGGAAGGTGACAGGGCAGCAGGATGGACAAATTGCTGCTGGTGCTGGTGCTGGTACTGGTGATGGTGCTGGCGGGAGTGCTGGTGGTGCTGTTTCTGTTGGTGGTAACGTGGGTGAAACTGATGAGGAGCGGAAGGGAAAAGGCAAGAAAGAGTTGCAGGGAAAGGTGGAACAGGGCAAGGGAGGAGAGGGAAAGCGAGGAGAGGGCAAAAGTGAAGGTAGGAAGATGGCAGCAGGAGCTAGTGGGAAGAAAGAACGCGATGATGATGTGGCTCGGAGAGGGGACGGGGAAAGGGGAAAAAAGCCAGAAAGAAAAGGCTAGAAACCTTAAAAAGGGTGAGCATTCTATTTGCTTAGCAAGCATGCAAGTGTTGTTGGTTCTTGTGTGTCAGAGGTGTATTGGAGATCCTCGATTGATCCTAGGGAAATGTTATAGACACGTAGGTCCGGAGGGTTATGGGCCCACTCCACTCACCTTGTACACAAACAAGCTTTTATATTTCAGTGGTTAGTGGTTGAGATTCTGACATGGTATCAGAGCGAAGGTTTGAGGTTTGAATCCTAGTGTGGAGAGGTATTCGAGGCTGACGTTTCAAAAAACGCCTCCCCGACACCGACCCGCAATTGTGTGTGTGTGTGTGTGTGTGTGTGTGTGCGTGCGTGTGTGTGTGTGGGTGGGTGTGTGTGTGTGGGGGTGTGTGTGTGTGTGCGCGTGCGTGCGTGCGTGCGTGAGTGCGTGCGTGCGTGCGTGCGTATGTGTGTGTGTATGTGTGTGTGTGTGTGTGTGTGTGTGTGTGTGTGTGTGTGTGTGTGCTTTATTTTTTTCCTTAGACAGTTTTAACTACCTTACAGAATCTACATCCTACCTACCTATCTAAGTTATCCATCCTACTCATCAAATCCATCATCATCATTATTATCAGATGCATCATTCTCCTTTACTATGTCTTCTGCTTCCATCACTTCATCTGCCTCCTTGGCCTTGTTCTGATGCTTTCCTGCAGGCGGGAGTGGAGCGTTGCTGTGGGGCTTGCACTTCATATAGGCCCTCCAGATTGTCACGATCTCCTCCCACTTGGGAGCGTAATCCATGAGACTCATGTACATAAGGTCTCCGAGCCGTGCGTCCTTCCGCGAACCTCTCTGCCACGACTTGATAATGTTCTGCCTGGAGAGCCCCCGCTCGCACTCCACGGTGCTCAGTGGCAGAACAGCTACCGCCACCCAAAAAAGTACAAGGTTGGGGTAGTTGTCCCGCCAGTCGGGTGTCTTGAGCATGGCTGTGAGCCCCGCGTGAAAGCTGCACTCGCCCTTGGTAGAGGCTGCAAGCACCGAGGTGAACATGTGCAGCTCCTTCATTGCACGGCGCTTGTTGACTCCTAGAGGGGTTGGGAAAAGGATAACAAAAGAACAAAATGAGTAAACAAATACAAACATACATTGAAGCGTAGCACAAAACACAAACAGAGCAACAATGAAGCATGATAAAGACCACACAATAGGCTTACCTGGCAGTATCTCTTCCGTCAAGTTGGCCTTGAACAAAGTCACAAGCGTCTGTAGCCACTGAAGGCACCTCCGATTCCTCTCTCCTCGATCCAACATGTACTCGTCTGGGATGAACAGCTTTACCCCAGACTTCCCATCCAGGTCGCCTAGCCGACGCTCGAGTTGGTGAACGATTAACTCCGCGAACTCTATGCAGGCCTCCACGCAGCCATCGTGGGTCCCGGGCCCTTCGAACTCCTCCAGCTCGTCCTCATGCAGCCTGAAGGTGAAGCGTGCAGGACGGCCATCCGAGTCAACCCTTTCGACTTTCACCTCCTGGTTTCCTCCTGGCCCATGGCGTGCGATGAAGGGGGACAGCAGCTCGCTCACGCCACCACCGAAGTCGTCGCCGCAATCAACGTAGTAGCTCTCAATGTGGGACGTTGTGCGCTTGATCTGCGCATGCACGCTGGCATAGTCAAGCTGGACAGAAACAAGACAGACAGTAGTTAGTGGCTGGTAACGGTTAACATGCAGGATTATAGCAGAATGCCTACTGCACAAAAATATAATGACAGAAAACCATGAGCAAACTCACTTCCTTGTGCTGGAACGCCCTATTCAGGATGTTGAGCTGCTCAAGCACATCAGCAATGAAGAAAAGAAGGAAATGAAACTTGTAACTTGTTACAAGAGCATACAGCTTCGCGTCCCACTCCTTCAGCATCACGATGAGAGCGGGAAGCACATCGACAAGCCTGAGCACCGCGTCGCCCCGTGAAAGCCAACGGACGGAATGAATGCCCTGGAGCTCAAGAGAAGTGGACGCAAAAACTTCCTGGAGCCCCATGAACCGTTGGTGCCATGGCCCAGAACGACCGAGATGCTCTGCCACGGTGCGAACCACCGTGTCAATGACATTGAACGCATGATTCTTCTCGGCGGCTGTTTTCGCCGCCAGTGCCCCCCCTGTACAACAAATAAAGAAACAATAGTACATCGGGAAAGTCAACAATATTAAAAAACGCACGGCAAGTTTATGAAAAAAACACAGACATGTCAGACTACATGTCTATGTTATAATGATATGTAGGCTTTAGTGGGGTAGCTAATGTAGGGTATAGATTTTTTTGTTACTTGTACCCAACTCTCATGATAGTCATCACACCTTTTCTTCCCTTTACTTTCAACATGGTATTAAGAGCAAATAGGTCTTTAGGACCGTTTTAGGACTGCTTTTCAGGGCCCACCAACCGTTTTCCGCCGGTTACCGCGTTACCCCGCCCCCTGCCTACACTGCCCTGAGTCGCGCAGCCCTCGCGCTCGCCTCTGCTGGCCCTCGTGCAGCCCGCTAGCAGCCCGCCCGCTGCCTCGTCAGCCCCGCGCGTCGCTCGCCAGCTGCCTCGTCAAGCCCGCACACCGCCCCGCAGCCCTCACGCTGCCTTCTACTGCCCCGCGCGCCGCTCCGCAGCCCTCGCGCTGCCTTCTACTGCCCCGCGCGCCGCCTCTCAGCCCTCGCGCTGCTTGTACTGACCCGCGAGCGCGCAGCCAGCCTGCTGCCTCGTCAGCCCCGTGCGACGCCCGCACAGCCCGCCCGCTGCCTCGTCAGCCCCGCGCGCGGCCCGCGCGGCCCGCCCGCTGCCTCGTCAGCCCCGCGCGCGGCCCGCGCGGCCCGCTCGCTGCCTCGTCAGCCCCGCGCGCTGCCCTCCCACTGCCTTAGCAGCCCTCGCACTGCCCTCCCACTACCTTAGCAGCCCTCGTACTACCATTAGCAGCCCTCGTACTACCTTAGCAGACCTCGTACTACCTGAGTCTGGGGGTGCTGCGTCTAGGGGCACTGAGGCGCCTGCTGAGCAGTCTCCTAGGAGTGGTCGCCTCCGTAGTCGCACCGCTGGTGCCTTGCCGCAGCACTCCCGTCAGCGTGTGCCTCTCTCCCCACAGCAGCTGCGTGAGTGGTACTTTCGCCGTCAGGGTCGCGCTACTGGAGCTAGGGGCCCTGCGTGGGAGGCGCTAGCGTTGGAGGCTCTGGAGCTGGTGACTTTGCTACTGGAGGCGCATCCACTGGAGTTACTGGAGCCTCTGATCGCGGAGGTGCTCGTACTGGAGGTACTGGAGCCGCTGGGGTGGGAGGTAATACTGGTTCTGGGGGTGTTGCTGCTGGAGAGACTGAGGCTGGAGACTCTGGGGCTGGAGGTGCCGGTTCTTGGGGTGCTGCTGCTGGTGGCGCTGGTCCTGGAGGTACTGGCGCTGGAGGTTCTGAAGCTGCTGGAGGTGCTGGTACTGGAGGTGCTGACGCTGGAGGTTCTGGAGCTGCAAGAGGTGCTGGTACTGGAGGTGCTGGCGCTGGAGGTTCTGGAGCTGCTGGAGGTGCTGGTACTGGAGGTGCCGGCGCTGGAGATTCTGGAGCTACTGGCGGTGCTGGTACTGGAGGTGCTGGCGCTAGAGGTTCTGGAGCTGCTGGAGGTGCTGGTACTGGAGGTGCTGGCGCTGGAGGTTCTAGAGCTGCTGGCGGTGCTCGCGCTGGAGGCGCTGGAGTTGGAGGTTCTGGAGCTGCTCGAGGTGCTGGAGCTACTGGTGCTGGTGGCACTGCACAGCTGCGACTGTTCTTCGCTGCGCCGTCACCTTCGTCTCTACCACCGCCTGACTCCGTGCTTTGCCAGGTTCTTAGCCTCCCGTCTTCAACTGGTCTTCCGTTACAGCCTGGCTCACCTCTCCTTGCTCCTTCTCCTTACACTGAGCAGACAAGAGGTCTTGCTGAGCGTCGTGAGCCTGCGTCTCATCCTGTCTTGCCTGTTCGCACGGTCCGCACTGGTCGTACTGGTCGTCGTGTTCCTCGTGAGCGTCCGCCGGCTGTCCCCGGCACGCACCTCATGGCCCTGCGTCCTTCCTCTGCTCCGCAGCGTGTTCCCCTACCGTCCCCTCCTGCGTCTTCTCTGCCTGACGTTCCAGACCTTGCGTCTGACCGCGCTCGTGCTGCTTCCCCTACTATCACGCGTCTACTTGCCACTGTTGTCACTGACCCGTCGTTTGAGTCTGCTGCTGCGTCTGCTTTAGTCGCTGAGCTTGTTGAATTTGCTGCTGCCTGTCGTCTAGACTACGCTGCTAGTCTTGTTGCTGAGTCTGAGTCTGTCTGTCCTCCGTCCGTCGGGGGTGAGTGTGCTCTTGGCACGGACGTCTTTGAGGACAGGCAGGAGGACTTTGAGTGTCTTGCGGCTGGTGTACCTCATCTCGTGGCCATGCTACTTGCCCCTTGTTAGAATCTAGCAGCAGTAGGAATGAATGCACTATGGAAGAGTTGGGTACAAGTATGAAACCCTAAACGGGGCTGTACCCCATCTTGGCTACCCCACTACAGCCTACACACAAATAACATGCATATACTTTGACACACCCCCATAGGCAAAGTGGGGGAGAACAAGCGGTCACAAGACCAGTCAAGAGAAGCAAAGCAAGCTCAGGGTGGATCACAACGTCACCACACACACTGAGCACAAGCAAAGGGCCACAAGGCCAGTTCACATCCAGAGGTAAATATGCAACAACGGCAGCACAGTCATCTCTATCTAGCAGAGCAAGCATGCAGGTATATATATAGATCACAGTACAGGCAAAGTCTACAGTAAGTGAGAAAACGTGGGCACAAGGCCTAACAAAGTACAAAAACGCTGATGATCACCAGACGGAAGTGCCTTGGTGAATATATCAGCAGTGTTAGCCCGAGTGGCCACGTGAGCAAGATGAAGCCGACCACGCTGCTGCAACTCTTGAGCAAGGAAGTAACGCAGAGCGATGTGCTTCGTTCTGTGCTCCAGTCTGTGCTCCTGACACAAGGCA